TAAACGTTCCCACAATTAGTAGCCCGTCCAACTCATTTAGATTATTTCTTCTCAATTTCGACGAAATTGTATGATGATACATACTTGTATGACAACTTCCTGCTTGTATCATTTCTAACCACATGTTCTTTTATAAAGGAAATGAAGGTCATTGAAGCTGTGTGGTGCAGCTTTGCTTTCTTTTGAGATCATTTTTCCTGGGGTCATGCCCTCACTTGTTCCTCTATTTTCTATAAATAAAAGTCATCACTGAAAAGGGATCCTCCACTCAGAAGCAATAATCATGGCAGAACTTGCTGTTAGTGCTGCTTTGCTTTCTTTTGAGATCATTTTTCCAGTTCTCAATCAACATCTGAATCTCAAGAAGAAGGTTAAAGACGAAATTGAGAGTTTCGAAGGATGGGTTAGAGCAATGAAAGCCTTCCTCGAGGATAATGAAGACGATACTGAACGCAGCAGGTTGCTCGAAGATAAAGTGGAACAAGTTCGAGGCATTGCTTACGATATAGAGGATCTTCTTGAGGAGTTTTCCCTTCATTCATCCTACATATTTCACAGCAATAAATTCACTCAGAAAGCCGTCCAAGCTGGCCATAATATCAAGCACCACTTTCCACTTCATGGGATCTCCGGAAAGATCAAAAGAATCAAGAACAAGATAGATGGTATTGTATTACAAAATATTTTATTTGCTAATGGTTCAAGACCTGCTGCATCAAGCTCTGGCACAAGGAGTCGAGTTCAGGTGAGTCCTCTTCTCCTTGACGATGAATTGGTTGGCTATAAAAAACCCAGGGAAGAGCTTATAAGTCAGTTGATAGATGGAGAAAAGAGACTAGTTAGAATAGCTGTAGTTGGTCCTGGTGGCTCCGGCAAGTCAATATGTGTAAAGAATGTGTTCGGGAAGAGAAGAATTCTTGGACAATTCGATTGCCATGCTTGGGTTCACGTGTCTCAGCACTTTGATGTCGAGGAACTCTTAAGCGATATGCTAAAGAAATTTTGCGAATCTAGAAAGGAAATTTATTGTGATCAGAGAGGTGGAGATACTCTGACGAAGCTCAGAAATTACCTCGTTGCAAAGAGGTACATTGTTGTCCTAGATAACATTTGGAGAAGAGAAGACTGGGAGCGCATCAAGAATGCTTTGCCAAGTGGGTTTTTGGGCAGCAGAATAATTCTGACCACCAGGGCCTCTGATGTGGCCTCTTCAGCCGAATTTATACATCACTTAAATGGTCTAGAAGCACTAGAGGCCTGGACCCTCTTCTGTAAGAAGGCCTTCCAAGACAGTAAAGGGGAATGTCCTTCTGAGTTGAAGGATTGTTCTGTGAAAATACTGAAAAGATGTGAAGGACTGCCCTTCTATAACTTGGTAGTAGCCGGTGCTCTATCAAATACACCAAAGTTTCCAAGGGAATGGGAGAAATTTCACAGCAGTCTTGGTGCCGAAATCGAGCGCAATTCTCCCCTTTTAGTTATCTGCAGACCTGGCTACAAGGATCTCTCAAGCAATCTTAAGAGTTGTTTATTGTATTTCAGCATTTTCCCTGAGGATTACTCTGTTAGTCGGGGAAGGCTTGTGCGCTTGTGGGTAGCAGAACGATTTGCGACAGAAACAC